GTTGTCAGATGAAAATATTTACTTAACATCATTGCTTCAGTTTATTTCATGCATTTCACAAGACTTTTTTAAATAATCAGATTCAATTTTATAGTGACACCATGCCCTTCTCTCAAAAGCTAGGTATAAAGAATGCCTTAGAAGCAAAAACTGCATAACTGAAAGCAAAATTAAGAAGGTTAAAAAATGGAACGTAAAAGGAAAGATAAAAAACTAAGTTGTGTAACCATTGAAAACCAGACAAAACTTTTTATAAAGTTCCAGATGCCAGAAGAAAGCTATGCTTCAAGTAGCATTCTGCACTACTTCACCAAAAGCATTAGAACATCGAAACAACCATCCCTGCAACTAAAACCTGTAAATGCTCCATTTTTAGTTGAGTTTGTTTGGGGGTTTAGAATGTCTCACCTAACAGCTGTCAGACCAAAGCCTCACAAGACACCAGTAGATGAAACTATATACCTTGAAAATTGTCTGCCATTTCTTTGGTCAAATTCTGAATAGCTAAATTACTTCTGCATGATAAAGACTTCAGGTTCTGTCAGGAATGGAATGAAGTCCCCACCACAGACAGCCAACCATTCACACTCTCTATCAACTGGTGTAAAGTGACTGTAAGTTTCAGTGGCAGCAGGCAGATGAGTCTGTAAACAGCTGTGTATCCTCCTGCAGAGGAGGAGATGGGACAAAAGACATAGAAACAAAGACCTCAGCTTTGCAGTGGCACTTTGAGTCAACTCTTGAAAGGAATCCCTTTGAATGTATTCCAACTGTAGACCAACCTGGAAAACTGTAGGGTTTTTTATATTTAAATAAATGAATCTTCCAACTGTGTCTGGGTTGATAAGCAGCAAAGTACCTTCTCAAGCCAATGTTACTTTCTTTCTAGTCACTTGCTAGATTCTTCAGATGCTTCTGGAATAGTCAAAATAAGTATAAAAAAAAAATTGCATCCAGCATCTTATAAAAAGTTAAGCGACCTAGATAAGACCTGGTATAATTGCCTTTTTTTCAGGAAATACTGTGATTAAGTACATTAATAAATTACATGAGACACTATTACAATTAGATTTTTTATTAATACTGTTAAGTCTCCTTTGTTTGGACAATGGCTTTAGGGAAAAAAAAAATCCAGTAACTTAAAAATTATTTCAAATTGACAAAACTTACAGGATCAGAAACGTGAAAACCAAGTTGGTACATTTCAGTACCCCCTATTTCTCCAAAAAGAATTTTACTTTATATGAAACGTCTGAAGAAGAAATCTATAAACATGCTAATGAAAATAAGTACTTTTCTTGAACAAGTAAGTTGCTAAAGAGTAACGTGAACTGTGCACACAATGGCTCTTCTTGGTAAACACAATGCAGTATTTTCTTACAAACTGACAACAAAAGGAGTAGACTACTAGAAAACTTTCTCAAGTTCAACTTCCTCTCAAGACCAGAAGACCGAAGCCAGAACACAGGTGAGAAAGCTATCTCTTTGCCACTGTTTAACAGATAGGTGCTATTTGATACAGCTTTCTATTTTGAAAAGCAATGCTGAAGAAAATTTTCAGCTATGACTTAACCAGTACACTTCCCTTCTCCACTGCAAGACAACACTAAGCACAAGGAGGATTATGAGCTCTAATAAGCATTCCAAGATAAAACAAGCTCAACCAAGACTTTTCAGAACAAATTCAGTGCAATGGAAGCCTCTGTATATGCACACTTGGTAAAGCAGACATTTTGGTAGAAACATAATTACTGGACATTTTTCAAAGAAAACTGTCAATTTACTGGACAAAGCTAGTAGCTTTGTATTACAGTTGTGATGACTTTCCATTATGTAAACAAAATGCAGGACCTAAGTAAAGATGTTTTTTTCCTCTCACACACTCACAAGAAGAGTAAAGATGTTCTCTGCTGCTTACCTGGGAAGCGACACTTGGAAGAACACCTCTCTCCCACACAACGGGCTGTAGCTACCAAAATCTAAAACCTAACCCAAAGTTTTCACAGCAATCTGTGTTATTTGGACTTCAGATAATTACCCACCATCTCTGACCGAAGACTGGGAATGTTATTTTCTTTTTGCCTGAGGTAGAAAAGTTTTGCTAAATGAAAACAGAAAATACAGCCCAACTGTATTTGTTATGGAAGGAAGTGAATTATTTGGGCTGGGAGGAGAAAACACAGGGAAACCCTTCTTCTCTTGCTTCAAAGCTTCTTGGTAGTTTGCAGAGAAGAGGAATCAAGTAGCGTCTCACCTTTAGCTTTAACTTCTCTTGTTCTGCTGTCCCTTCCATATACCTTCCTCTTTCAGCTCAAAATCAAACTGTTTTTCCTCATTTGCAGATCAGAAGAGCAACATTTTTTGACTGTAAAAAAATGATTATAATCTCACTATCAGCTTCTAATTGCATATTTATTCTTTGACCTGAAGAAAGGGTCCCATACCACATTGTAAGGGGTTACAAATAAGAAGGGGAGGAACATCACTGAAAAGATCATCTCTGACAACTTCAATACAGAAAAGATACCAGATGCATATGAAAAAGACACTGAAGGTCAATCAAGACAATTCAGTGTGATTTTTTTAGTTACAAGCCATTTCATATTGACTGTTACTTTGGAAAAGTTTCTTGTAACATAATTGAGGGACCAATTACATTCTCCCCAAATTTAGGGGATGGCAGTTTTAATACCTTCCACTCCATTTTCTATTCCTAGACAAGTAGGAAAAACATCACTATAAATCTCCACCCTATCTTTAATATAACCAGGTGCGTATAGCTATTCACTTCAGGCAATGGTTTCTGCTGTTCATCTACTACTGCTTCTGCCTATTTAATCATATTTCATATATCCCATTTACTCACTTTGCTTCCCATGTGAAATTCCTCACAGGAAAATACAGTTAAGGAATGCTTGATGGAACTCCCCTGCATTATATTATGAACTACCATTAAAACACTCTCAAGGACCACCAGTGGATGAACTAATACACACAGCAGGCTTAACTTCTTTTCCATGTGTCTTTTCTTTTACTTCCTCTCTCCCTTTCTATCTTCTCAAGTTTCTGCTATGTTACTCCACAAGCAATGACATCACCTACATGATCCTATACCAACTATAAATCTCAGAAATAAAGTTCTCATCCTCCTTGTATTTCATATTAGCCACGGGGCCCTTCTTTCAAGAGTTGGATTCTGACATCAGAGTTTGGCTGTATTATCATGCACAATACATGCTTTTTGTTAGTGATGTCTATACCCACTGTCCTCTTAGGTAACAAGGTGTGATGGAGACAAACCAAGACTTTCTATGGTCACTGGAAATAGAAAACTTAAGAATCAAGATTACCCAGCAAAGCATATGCTGTGAACAGCACACTTATCTGTTTGGTGCTATTGCCTACAAGCCAATGAAGAGCAGGCTTATCTGGGTCTGGGTAACTTTGCCATAGTAAGTCCATAGTATAGAACTCATTTCCAAACCAAAAAGAACTAGAAAAACATCCAAGCTTATTATTTTAAATTCAAATCTCAGATTCCAAAGGGAAAGCAAGCTTCCTGACATAGAATATACCAATATCAATACTATGTAAGTATTATAATCAGTAGGCTTTTGAAACAAGCCAAATTCAGCAGCTATCTAGACATTTTTCACTTAACATTGCATCCTTCTCACATGCTTAAATAGGCATACAATACAAAACATTTATGTTTTACTTAAACATTTATGCTTCAGTATGTTAATGAACCAGAGCCTTCAGTCACGTCATTATAGCAAAACAGTGATTCCCAAGCTACTTTGTGCAACAGTTCCCTCCCAAATTACCTCTACTGGTTACTCTCCCCCTCATAAGTAGCCTGGGTACAACCCTGCAATGATGAGATTAAATGGCTTCTGGTACAGCAAAATGTCTTGAACTTCAGTCACCTCTTATTCTTTCTTTTAGGTAGCTACGCCCTGAAATTTGGAATGCAGTGTATCAAATTTACAAAAAATAAACAGGCACATTTCTTTTTTCTCACATAAAGAAACACCTATTTTAAGAAAATTGTTTCTTCTCTGCTCACAGAGCTAAAACACACTGCAAAACTCATCACTAACAATTGTACATTCTGAAACATAATGCAAATAAGTAGTACTGGAAGTTCACATATGTTCTGAAGCACAGCCTCCATTTTGATATTCACATGCTTGTTTCACTTCTGCTTACATCAGTTTTGTACATCATAGTTACACTGATACTAAATCAGTAGGAAAGGAATTTAACAAAACAGCAGATCAATAACAGCACCTCAGGGGGTCTGAGAATTTTCAGGGGAAAAAAATTGTATCAACAGAAATATTTTTATTTTCCACAAAAACTTGAACTATTCAGGACTGGGAAGAATGGGGTATGCTAACAATGCTCTCTGTTAGAAGAGTGGTAGTTGATAGTCAGATTTCCCCCTCCACAATTTAGTACACAAATCTTCTGCATGGTCAGACTTACAAGCACCGATAAACATTGTATTAGATGTTCTGTTAACTAGTATGACCAGTTGGGAGTTACAAGAGCTTATACTAAAAGGAGTGAAGCGAGACGACGTTCCACCACTACAGCAGTTTCTAATGGAACAGTAGATTCAAATAAAGTCTATCATCATTATGTTTAACCCACTGTATTTTGTAGGCTTCTGCAGCAAGGCAATAATGTTACGGTAATCACCATTCAAACCAACCACATGCAATAATAAAAAACAATTTTATGCAAAAAGAGTAAAATAAATACCTGCAGGACTGCCAGCATTTTCTCCTTGATGCAGCTGAATACCAGTAGAATCTATAGAGTTTACTGTAACTGTCTGCAGATTTGGCAACTGAGCAGTGCTTAGACTAACTGGAGTTGATGTCAATGCCCCACCTGCTGCAACTTGACCAAGAGTGAGAGTCTGCACAGGGGTTAGAGTTATTTGTTGACCAGGTGCATTCTGAATTTGCAAGTTCTGCAAGTTCTGAACTCCTTGCACTTGAAATGTCTGCCAGGTTATCTGCCCAGAAGGGGTCACTGTTTGTGCCTGAATTAAAAAAGTTCCAGGATTCAGCTGCAGTTGAAGATTCTGAAGAGCCTGTTGAGATATACTTTGATTTGCTTGTACACCGTGGATTGTCTGCTGCGTAATACCTTGTACAATCTGGGCTTGACTGGTTGGCTGCTGAGACTCTTGAAGCTGTATGTGTTGTACAATTGGCTGTGCTGTGGAGACCTGAATGTTCTGAGCCTGCGTGTCGTCAGAGACTGATGTCTGGATGTAATTTCCCTGAAGATCAGAACTGTGAACTTGACCACTAGTTGTGGTCAAGTTGTTTGCATTTTGTTCCAATATACTTGAACTGTCTATGGTAACAGGCAATTGTGATGAAGATGATGTTGGCACAAATAAGTCATTATCAGCGGTGGTTTCTGTAATTTCAGGAGAAACTTGCTCACCAGTCCTTTCAGAAGTATCTGAACTATCCATTGCCTGTCCAGTATTTATCAAGTGCCCATCTGCATTAATGCCTGCTGTCATGGTTTGAGAACCACTGCCAAGTCCCAGAGAATCTAGATCAACACTATTAATGGGTACAAAAGTAATATTTCCTGGTAGTCCAAGCGGGACATTAGCAACTACTTGTGCTTGGCCAGGAAAAGACGAACCACCAATTGCAACTCCCTGAACCTGGACTTGACCAGACTGGGATAAGATATTCTGAATATTAGCGGAAGGTGTTCCAGAGGCAATGATGGTTTGATTAGAGCCAGGAATGATCTGAATTTGACCAGTTTCTTGATTTATACTGCTATTATCAGAAGAGGCTGCAAAGCCAAGTTGAACCTGCTGACCATCCGCTGTCTGGATCTGGGGTATTACTTGGTATTGTACGTTAGACACTGTACCATTTGACGAATCTGATCCTGGTGCAACAGAAAAGATTTGTTGATTTTGCAAACTCTGAATAGGAAGGACATACTGCCCACTTGAAGTTACTGTGGTAGCACCTGGAATCTGTACTATATTACCAGCTTCATCCTTTATAGTGGCAGGAGTTGCAGATAAGACCTCCCATCTATTTGGAGTTCCTGTTAATTGCACAGAAGCCAAATCCCCTGTCTGAATAAAAAGAAAAAAGACAAAATTAAAACAAGAGACATACAGACTATATGCTAGAACAGTCATGCAATTCAACACTAGAAATTGATACACTACTGGAAAACATGCAGTATAGCCCATATGAACAAGAGCAACTGGATTAGAATGACAAAATACAGATTTTGTAAGTGAGCTAATGCCTAAGTCAGAGTAACCAACCTGTGGTTCATGAGCTGCATGTGGATGGCAAGCAGGCCAAACGCAGCTCCTGTGCCACAGCTACGTCAGGCGACCAGCAGCAGGGTTATTCTGCTGTGGGGGCTGCTGGGTAATCCAAATCCCTGGCTGTGGGAAGAAGGGAGCTGGCAGGGGCTGCTGGAGCTGTCACCACCAGGTTACCCTGGGACTCAGCTACACTGTTTACCTAACCCTGCACCTAATGCACAGAAGTGGAGGAGTCACCGTGAAGCCAGGGTCACCTGTGTCTCCTGGAGCTCCACTGCCTTTTGCCTCTGTGTTTTACATGGTATAGATGTGCAGGTTGTGACCCTCAGCAGTAGAGAGCATTAAGAGGTGACATAGTCACACAGCTGGAAAGATTGGAAAGCCTCAGTTTAACTTACACATAATACAAAGTCCTAGTATTTATAAGCTTGTATGAGTTACTGTTTCACTAGGGAAGAAGGCCTCTAAACGAAGGACTTTTACACTGAAATCACAGTTGGATTAGTCATATGTATCCATTGGGGTGGTGGAGAGAGGGGGAATAAATCTATCTTCATTAAATTGGAACAATAGAAAAGGTCAGTATTTATGAACAGACCCTCAGATGGTTAAAGATTAAAGAACCTAAGGACTGATGTAGTATGCTTTTGTTCTTTATTCAGTAAAGAAAAGGCAAATCACACTTACCTTTCTTTACCAAAGCAAGCTTTTTCAGAATAGAGTATTAAGAATTAGATTTAACATCCTGCAATGCTTAGCACAGATTTGTAGAGTCAACCAACTTGGTATTGTAAATACCAAGCCATCAATCTAAAAAAAGATGCAGTTTTCTCCTTATCTGTTTCACTGCACTACAGTAAACCAATGGAATAACTTAATATTTAGCAAGAAGTAAGTAACTTGTCTTACAACTCATTCAACTCCATGAAACAAATTTTATCTCTTTATCAGAGTCTACAGGACACACAAAGAAAAGCTCTAGTTTGTCCTTCTGCACTGATCCTGTGTTCACTCCTAGCAGGGGAGTTATCACAGCATATCACAGCTTCCTTCTGATGCTGCACTCTGACTTCCTCTAGAATAAAACCTGGATATGCAAAATATAGCACACGGCTTATTCTCCTCCAACACGGCACTGAGACTTAGCCAGCCCGAATGAATCCTGCGGCATGCATCCGAGTGATTTTAGTTCGCACGGTAGGCTGGGACTTTGATAGTTTCACTTTCTTATCCTATTCCGAGCAGCAACACTAAAATGTTCACACGTACAAGAAAAATACTCTATTTAAGTCTGAGTGCTTATTTAAAAAATAACTTTACTGTGCTTGGCAAGCTTCATTTCCAATAAGGAAACACATACCTTGGTTCCTCTCAAGAGCTGTACTAATAATAATTGTGAATAAAAAAGAATGCTAGTCTTCTTTTGCCCTCAAAGATATTTATAATCTTTCAGGCAGTTTATTAGTAAATAGATGCAGCATCACCAGAACAAAACTAATTTTATTGTCTTAATGCTTCAAGGATCAGAAAGAGAGAAAGGCGTAATGGCAATTCCATTTTATTATTTTCCTTTCCTCTTATACTGATATTTAAAGAACATATTTAAATCCTCTAGTCTTTCAAAGCTTATGATTTATGAGATTAGAAAAAATTATGGAATATTCCATATTACACCACCTTATCTAGAAAAAGGCAAAAAAATCTGTTTTCATCCGCTATCACATCAGCTTTATACTCTTGTGTTTAATATTGTTTACACATAGGTAGCAGTTCCCGAAATGCTGTTATGAAAGTTCCTACCTACTCAATACACTAGTATATAAACACTTATAAACTGAAGGTTTTATAAAGTATCAAAAGACCCATAAAAGTCATAGGTAAACATTAGTCAGAAAATACCAAAAGCAAAAACATGATTGTTATATGTTTAATGTGTGTCATTATAAAATACATGTAGAATATAATGTTCTTACAGTATCTGTTAGAACAAGAGAGAAAGAAAAAGTAATGGGAAACATTACAGGTCTGATATAACTTCTCACTGATTTAAGACTATGTGCAAGCAAATGTTGAACATTTAGACTATAACTGGACTGACCTAACATGCAACAGGTACGTCTATGTCCACTCATATGCAATACACATGAGTATCCTCCACAGAAATAGTTCAAAGGAAACCTGTCTCCTTCATGATATGGAAATGACCTATGTCACTCTTCTCCTCCCCAAAGTTCATTTCTGTATCACCATTCGATGGCCTCTGCCTTCTCACATTGGGCACACATCTCTCCTCACCTTTTCATCATCTACTGAAATCTTCCCTCAGATCCTTCCCTGTAAGGGTTTTAGCTCAATAGAGATGCTCTTTTAGTAGATGCATTTGTCAGTCCATGGAGGAGTCCAGGGCAGCCATGCACACGGATGTTAAGTTATTACCACACATAGTACATGAAATGCCTGTTGTTCACATGTTGCTCTTACAGCTGGCTATATCAGACACTACCAGATGAATCATGAGGAGGGAGGGGCAAAAAAAGGGTGAGGCTTTCAAGAAGTTATCTGGCAGCTATCAAAATTACTAGTATTAAAGCATGAAAAAACCCTGTATGGTAAAGAGTATTTGATGATCTCTAACCTCAACTGGTCATTGACCTGCCATAACAAGCTTGACTGTTATACCCTTTCTCAAAGTCTGCTGAGCTAGTAGGACATTTCTTGAACTCATTTTCCTACTAAAAAGAGTAGTAATGTTCCACTGCATGCTCAAGCAATTAAGCATTGTTGTAGTAACTCAAAGTTCTACCACTGATGTATGAGCAGCAACATCTACAGCCCACTCACTCACTGATCTTTACAGCACAGTCCTGGAAGATCAGAGTTTGTTTGCTGTCTCTGAGCCGTCCGTGAAAAATACTTAAGAAGGCAGAGATAAAGGAACAGTTCTTTTCCTTATCAACTGATACTCAGACAGCAGTTATTCGGAAGTTGCTCCTTTAAAAGGCTGGATGGTTGCAAACCAAAGGCTCTGTGTCAAGAGGAAGGGACAAAGATCTGAGGAAAGTTCAGCATTAGCACTACTCAGCCAGGGAGGAGAGAACAGGAAGCAACCGGAGTTCACTGGAAGCAGTATCAGGAAACAAGAGAAAGAGACCGGAACAGAGCAAAGATAGTAGCTGGTACAAGGCATGGAAAGAATTCAAATCAAATGATACATCCACCTGAAGAAAAGTCAAGTACCACCAAAGAGTGGAAGCAACAACTGCTGTTCAGCCTGTCTTTGATTCTTTAACAAGCCTTGTGTAATTTCCAGTGGGTAAAATAAAGAGATCTCTCTGAACTGGAATTCTCATCCCTGAAGAACAAGTGGTCATAACAAATACAAGTCTAATAATTGTCTTGTTCAATTTGTTTAGAGCAAATTAAAACAACATTAAGTCAAATCTGAAAGGAGACAAGAGAAACATGTACAGAAGATAAAATACCTTTAAAAAGTGATCTAAACCATGTTGAGGGATGGGACTTGGGTTGCAAAAAAAAAATAAAACATCCTTCACCAACATAAAACTGGAAAGGGCAGAAACATCCCTGTAAGAACTGGTATATGTTGCAGGCATCTGCATTTTGACATGTCAAACGTGATCAACTGGACACATGCCATTATCCTTCAGTATTTTATTGCTAAAGAACCACCAAGCGTTTATCCATGCCAATCTATTGCTTTTTGCTGCACTTTTCAGAAAGTCACTTGTGCCCCATTTAGTCCTGGAGCAAAAGCATCAGCAAAACGAGCAGAGGTGGACAGATAATGAGTCACGAGCTCCTAAACATCTAAAAATCACAAACCTAATGAACAAGATTGGCCACTGCCTCATCCAAATTGTTGTTTTATGAATGAGTTAGGGCACTAACGCATAAGTTTAATACCATGTGTTTACCAAGCTACAGTAAACTACTTGTGCATTCTTAAGTCATTACAATATAAGATAAAATGCACTTGCTTCTACTCTTTCATTAAGGTATGAGCTAATACATTCTATCTTGCATTTGCCATAGGTTAAAAACACGTTCAACATCAGTTTCAGCAGACACAAAGCTGCTTGTTAAGGCACATTCATTCTGTTGCATGTTTCAGACCTCTGCCAATGAAGCCACTCAATTCAGAAAAATATATTTTCCCAAATCAAAAGTTTAGAGAATCAAATAATGTTTTGGGGAAAAAGTATTATCTGGGACTGCTTAAAATGTTATTTTAAAAGACAATTCCAATCTGGTGAAACATATTTAACATTTAATTGCATCTCATTTAAGGAATGTCTACATCTTTTTCCTTGAGATGGACAACTGGACCCAAAACTTGAATAGCTTGTTTTTAACCAGCGGAAGTTCAGAACCTGCCTAAATTAGAACAATACAATGTCCCATTGACATTGGTGGAAACAAGAAAGCTGCAGCATTAAGGAATGAGACATGGCAACAAGGAGGCATTTTTAACCAAATTGCATGGAACTTCATTTGTTTATTCATTATAAATCTACATGCATATTAATCTCTATATACCTGCATGCCAAACTAGAATTTTGCATAGAAGTTTTTGTGAAAGTTAATTTTCCTTCTGCCTTCAACTCAGACACTCAAGGCTCTACCATACCACCAAGAAGGGCAAGAAAGAGGACCTGAGGCCTCAACTTGATCTTTGGGAAGACAATGCAGCAAACAACCTACAAAATAACCTTAGGAGGAAAAAAAGAAAAACACCTCCAAATAACCTTGGAGGAAAAAAAAAAAAAAAAAGAAAA